ACCCCAGCATTGACGCTGCCTCATCTGGTCGTGTCCCCCACACACGACCCCAGCATTGACACTGCCTCATCTGGTCATGTCCCCCACACACCACCCCAACGTTAACACTGCTTCATCCGGTCATGTCCCCACACACCACCCCAGCATTGACGCTGCCTCATCCGGTCGTGTCCCCCGCACACCACCCCAGCATTGGACGCTGCCTCATCCGGTCGTGTCCCCCGCACACCACCCCAACGTTAACACTGCCTCATCCGGTCGTGTCCCCCGCACACCACCCAAGCATTAACACTGCTTCATCTGGGTTATCTGCACCCCTCTTTTGTATTCTCACACATATTTATCATCCAAACCCTTCCTGTGTTCCACAACCACAGCCTCTGGATTTTCAGTCTCTCCCTTCAAACTATTTGGCCACATGAAATAAGAAATAACCATCTCCAGGTTAATAGAGCTCAGAAACACAGAAACAAAAAAAAAAAATTGAGTAATTTTATACTCAAAGCTTTGTAGTAGGAGTCAGAAATGTATGGTATGATAAGTCCAATACTTATTCAGTAAATATTAATTTGAATGCAGATACAGCCATAAACAAGACAAGACCCTCTTTTTGCCCTAAAGAAGCCTAGAGCTCGCTAAGAATGTGTCAAATAAACAGGCAGTTATACTCCATGTGATTAAATACCATACTGTGGGAACTACTAGAACTGATTTCAGAGACAAAATTCTACTGAAGACCTGAAGGTGAAGGAGAAGTTGGGAGAAAGAGCAGGGGCATTGTTTCCATCAGAAGAACCAGCATATTTAAAGACCAAGACACAGTAAAGGATGTCATGTGTTATGTTTGCCAAGACATAGAATATATACAAAGATGGGGACGTGACAGGCAGAGAGGCCAGAGTGTGATAAGGCTGATAAACCAGAATTTATAGGTTCTAGAAAGCAATGGAGAAGATTTTTAAATATTTGACACAAGGAAGTACTAGATTCAGATAAGTATTATAGGCTAGATAGCAACATAATAAGAGAAAATGCAGTGGAGGGGGCGATTAAAACCTGGAAAGATCGAAGATAGTCTCCCAAAAGAAATAAAATTTGACTTTGATTTTGAAGGATATAGGACTCTTTCTGAAGATACAGTAGTTGGAGTCAACCATTCCAGATAGGAGATGGGCCAGAGACCAAAGGTCTGGGTGTGTATTTGTTAGTTAGTTTGAAATTGTACTATCGGCTTGGTGCCTGTAGCACAATGGTTACAGTGCTGGCCACATATACTGAGGCTGGCAGGTTTGAACCTAGCCCAGGCCATCTAAAAAACAACAGTGATAACACAACAAAAAAATAGCCGGGCATTGTCGCGGGCACCTATAGTCCCAGCTACTTGGGAGGCTGAGGCAAGAGAATCACTTAAGCCCAAAAGTTTGAGGTTGCTCTGAGAGCAACATGTGAGACTGTCTCAAAAAAAGAAAAAACATGAAATTATAGAGGGGAGGGGGAAGATGGCTGACTGGAGCCAACTTTTGACAGACGCTCTTGTCCAGAGGGAAGGATAATGACAAGAAAGTACCCAGGAAAGCTGAAGATAGGGAGCTGAGCTGAGAGAGAAAAGTAATAACTGCACGTCACCTCTGCTGAGGCAAGCTGCAACTCCAAGGAAGCAAACTTCAGAACAAAACTCATCCCAAAGTAAAAGACTGTCTGTTCCCTTCCACAAGAGAGGTTTTTTTTTTTTTTTTTTTGCTCTTGTGGGATCTCTACAAGCCAGCGGTGAACTGAGGACCTCTTGTCTCACCCCACAGGAGAGAGTTGCTGGAAGCAGGGGCTACTTCTCCAGAGGGACCCTGCTCTGAGCCTGGGCGTTCTCTTGCCAGGCATGAAAGTTGATCAGATATTTTCCTTGCCATTTTGAACTCCCAGTTCACCCTTCCCCCCTTGCCTGGTGGCCCAGAAGCCTAACCCCTGCAGAGATCAGAATGTCTGCAGTGTATTGCTAGGACGGGGCATTGAAAGGGCTGTGGTGTGAAGCTGCACTATAACATGAGCCCTGTAGTAGTGCAGACGGACAAAGAGGGGAGGCTGTCAGGCTTAGCTCTGCGAAAGTGCAAACCAGCAGCCAGCAGAGGCTTGCGAGCCACAGGAGACTCTGAGCCGGCTGCCCAAGCTGCCCAAGCTGCCCACGTGAGCCACAAACTGCTGCGTGAGCTGCCAGGCCAACCTCCGGAGCCACGGGAGCCCTCTCAGAGCCTCAAAGAGACAACTCCCACAAAGCTTCAGCAATAGTAGTGCGATCCCACCAGGGTCTAATTTTGGAGAGACACCTCCCCAACTCTGAGGACTGCCAGAGGAGCCAGACCTCACCCTATAGGGATACCAGAGTGGCAGAGCAGCTGGGACAAAGGTGTGGTAGCTGAGGGAGAAAAACATTTGCTGACTTGTTATCCTCAGATTTGGACTGAGCTCAGGTGGAACACTTCCCAGTTGCCATTGAGTACCTGAGGCAGGCAGGCCTCAGCTCCCCCTGCAACTGGTGGTAGAGGGTGGTGGCTGGGCCAAGGAGGCATTGACTTTCCTTTGACTCTAGCAGACACAAAGTCCTGGCACATTTGCCTGTTGAAAGGAACTGTGCCACAGCCCTGTGGGGTTACCAGTGACTGGATGTGAAGGAGGTGCAAGGTGGGAAAAGAGGCACCAGCCCCCTGGTCTAACTCTTCTACTTGGTGGGCCTTTCTGACTCTGCGGAACACCAGAGCAAGGCACACTTAAGCTGCCAGTAGACCCCTGCTATCTAGTCTCTGGAGACTTTTTGAACACTCCCACTTGAGAGTTGGTGCTGACTGGGACAATTGGTTTGGAATTCTTGACCTGGGCCAATCACCCAAAGACTCTCCAACGTGGTACCCTGGTTGTGTTATAGTGGGAAAGTTTTATTTTCCTCTTCTAGTTGTTACCCATGGGGAATGAGGTGTCTTAGTTCCTTGCATTTCTCCACAGCTGCAACTGAGAGTCAATGATTCACTAGGATTAGACAGACACCAGCTGAATACAAGACAGAGCCAC